CAAAGAGAAAAGACAATTAGGAGAAATGTATTGATGCAATTACTTTGACTTTGGCGCTCAGACCTCGGCAGGAAACATAGCGCTTAATTTTGATAGATATGCATGAACAGGAGCAAAGAATAGGTCTGTTTCCCCCCCAGGCCTGAAACCGGTGGTGCAGTGGAGATAGATGAAGTTGGTCAGTCTGTAGACTGCTGGTTGGGGAGACGGTACGCTGAGCTTTACGGGGAGATCCAGTGGATTGCGTGAGCTGATACTAGCGCTTCACTCAGGGACCTGGAAGATGGAAGTCCAGTTTGGATAACACAGGTTGTGTGAACCTGTCCATGATGAGCAAGCATGAAGCGACAGTGGAGAGGAAAAACTCTCCATTGGGGAGAAACCTCTGGGAGAACCAGGCTCAACATGGCGGTCATCTGCCAGACGGGTTAAGATGAGACAGGGAACGCAGTAAGAGTCTGGGAGGAATGACACTCTGATGAAGCTTTAGCTACGAAGGAGGAGGAGGGGCTGGAGGTGGGATGAAACGGTGTCATCTGAATTAAGTCACAGCGCATCCAATGACTGCCCACAGGAGCAGACAGGGCGGATCGAAGGCCTTTTAAGATTAACTTTGGATGCCGATTGGCTTTCGTGGAGGTCTGGTTCAAAGCTGATTGGCTGTGTCACAGGTGGATGTAGGAGAGCTATCAGTTTCTTCAGTTAAACTTCTGCCTAGGCTCCATACTACAAAGGAAATATTTCCAGAAACTTCAGAGCTGCAGGCAGCAGAGTCCTGATCTAGCAAATGAAAACTGGGATTCTAGCTCATTGGGGTTCAATCTAAAACTGAAACACCTTCATTTTAAAATAATTGTAAAAGCAACGCCGTAAATGTAAAAAAATGAAACTTGTTCAAATTATCAGTAAGTTAATTCAGTTCAAGTTCAATAAAAAAACAACACTTTTTTTTATCTGAAAGGGAAAATAAATGTTGCAGTAACTAAATTGCGTTGTTGTTTTTATTTTTATTTTTTCTTGAGGTTGATGTAGATTTTTTGAATGCTATAGGCAAGACGAATCTTCTGTAGCTGTCTGTCTTGCATCGGATTTAGAGAAGCCTCTGTTTGAGGACATTATGTTGTTGTTTAACAGTCCTCTGAAGAGGAAGCTCTCTTTGGTCCATTATCTCCTTCACTTCATGAAGAGTCTTCCTTTGTGAAATAATCTCCAGAGGTTCTAGAGGAGTTCCAGGAGCAGAGTCGGCCTTCTTAATAAGCTTGTTGAGCTTTTTAAGTCATTACCTCTGATGCTGTTACCCTGTTCATGTTTCCTCTGAAATTTACAGTCATCTTCAGGATCATATGATTGTTTCCACAAATGCCACAAAGCGGGGGATTTTTCCTGACAAAAACCAAGAAAGCAATCTGAAACCTCAGTTTCCTGTAATGCTCGCATTCAAGCCTTCTGCCTTCTCTCAGATCTATTCTCTTCTCGGTCAAATCTTTGATTTTGCTCTCAGATCTGATGCTTCTTGCACAGATATTTTCTCCTCTTGTTTAAATCAATCTCTGCTCGAGTCAGATATATCAGATATGCTCACAACCCTGTTTTCTAAACTTGAAACAAACTTTTTTTTTGTCCTGCTCTGAGATTGAAAATGTGCACTCACTGTTTTGGCAGAGAGTGGCAAATATTCTCCATATTGGCCCCTGTTGGCCCCTGTCTAGAGCTGCCCACAGTTTGACTGAGACAAATCGATGGTCTTGTTGAGATGAATCGATTGCTATGCATTGATTCGTCTCAACAAGACCATGCTATTCTAATGATAGACGAGCATTGGCTGTACCTTTTTTTTTTTTTTTTTTACAATTCTTATAAAAAAACACAAAATTCCCAATATTATAAAAGATAGAAATATTAACTGCACTTAAACATATATCTATAAGCAGTGTGGGAGCTGTGCATTATAATGCTTTGCTATTTAGATGTCAGTTGTTTTTGACAGCTCAAGTTGTGAACATTTTATCAGAATTTGTTGATTTTCTGACCTTGAAATAACCTGGCATAAGCCAGAATATTCAGAATTACACCTATTACATGTAGCCATCTAGAAATCCTCCTGTAGAAAGCGTTCTGAAAAGGGAGAAACATTCTGTACATTTCTTACGAGGTGATTGGATACTTGCCTTCCACGTTGAGTTTTTAGCCAATCACAGCAACAGTAGCAGCTGTGACGTTTTGCTTTCTTGATTTTTTTCACAAAGTTAACTGATCTAACCAAATCTGGTTTCATTTAAAAAATAAATAAAATAGATGGTATTCCAGTTCAAATTGGCACAGCCATGTTTGTTTTGCTTCAGCAATCCACCTGTGGTCGACACCCTGCCTTTCATTGGCCGGAAACCTTTCTGTATCCAGCTGAACTGATCTGTTGGCTTCTGGCGAGATGTTTTTCCTGAGTTAGGGAATTTAGAAATCTCGCGACAATTCATCTGGTTTAGAATGTAAACCTTGTTAGGTAGAAAATTCATATTGCTTGCAAGTTAAACCTTCATAGGGAGATCTCTAAACTTCACGCCAGGGGTAACCAATCTTTTTAAAGCTGAAGGCTACTTCATGGGTACTGAGTCATAGTTAGGGCTACAGATACTGACCTATGGCCTGGAGCGTTCAGCGTTCACCTATACTTCATGCATAAAAAATATCTTTATCTCTTAGATATTGTCATTTTGGCTATACATGCTTAAAATCTCTATATGGCCCCATTTATACTACCTTTTTGAAACCATGCTGAGATCAGTCTAAGCACAGTGACCGAGATAACTGTTGAGTGTAAATGGCACGCTAAACTGAAGCAACCAAACAGCGCTAAAATGGTACTAGTTCATCAGTTCTGGCTCTGTTCTCAGATAATAAAGAGCGCAGGAGCAGACCGCATCATCTCCTTAAAGTCAGCCTCCGTAATCATTAAATTTCAGACATTCATAAAAATACTAGCTTCCCTACCATGCCACACGGTTTCCAGTGATTATTCTGCTTAGCAGTGTGATGAACCTCAACTCCTGTCATTGTTTCCTGAATCTGTTAGCCCTGATTAGACTTTTGTTTGTTGTATCCACTTTTCCAAAAGCCGACTCTGTCAAGTAAATTCACCAAAGGCTGCCTTCTTTGCCTTACTTGCCGCAAACAACGAAATATCACAATTATAACCAAACTCTTTACCTCTAGAGAGCAGTAGTACAGTAGATCACCGCTAGGAGGCGAGGAGCCGTGCGAATGTGATGTGTAAATGGTCGTAAAGAACCAAGCTCGGCACGGTTAACTGATCCAAGCTCGGTCCAAACTCAGCACAGTAAATAGATCAAATTAAATATGATTATATAAATGTAATTAAAAAAGAAGAACAACAAAATAAAAGATTATTTCAAACTTAGCCCAATGGTGAGCTGTTCTGTTTTCAGAGGATGCTGAGGGCCCCCTACATTCTCCTTGAGGCCTCCTTGGTGCCCCACCCACCACATTGGTGACCCCTGTTTTTGGCTAATAAAAGAGGGTTCATGTGACTCCTACCTCTATGGTTGCTGTCAGAGGCCTGGCCAGTTTACCTATCCTACCGACACCTTGTTGGATGGTCCAGAGGCCTGTCTGATTTTGTTGTTGCTGCTGGAACAGAGTCCCACTTTATGCCAATTCAAGAGAATCACTGAGCGAAGGGATGGAAGTTCAGGGTCAGTTTTTGCCTAGTTAAGAAAGGCTAGGACTGAAACAGTTAATCAGATTAAAGGTCTTTATTATTAGTGTTCAAATATTTTGGAAATCGATTTAAATAGTGAGCTGCTCAGTGGAGCAGTGGGTAGCACTGCTGCCTTGCAGTGAGAAGGTTCTGGGTTCGGTTCCTGGCCTGGGGTGTTTCTGCATGGAGTTTGCATGTTCTCCCTGAGCCTGGGTTCTCTCTGGGTACTCTGGCTTCCTCCCTTAGTCCAAAAACATGACTGTTAGGTTACTTGGCTTCTTTAAATCCTCCTTAGGTGTGTGTGAATGGTTGTTTGTCTCTGTGATGGACTGGCGACCACCTTAGAAAATGGATGGATTTAAATAGTTACTTAGAGTAAAATATGTCATTTGATAAAATGATAACCTACTTATACCAGTAATTTAGACAAAGCTAAAGTGTTTTTTGTGTATTAATAAGCCAGTAATGAGGAGAAAATTCAAGCACACAGGTTTGGATTTTTGTAACCTCATGAACTTCACTCTTATGCTATCCTTGGTACCACGACAATCATGAAAAAGGCAAATTTAATAAGTGAAAAGGAGCACAGATAAACATGAAATATTAGATTTTGTCATCAGTTTGTGTATGTTTTCAAATAAAAACAGCTTTACTCCTGTAACCTCTGCAGACCCCAATACTAAATGTTATTTATTCAGGCAGCAGTTTGTTTCTTTAAAACTAAGACAAATTATTCAAAGGGAAATCAAGGACACCTCAGCCTTACCCCTAAACAGAGCACTCTGGCTTTTGCAGATGTTTTATTTTCCAGCAAATTCTTCTGGAACAAAGTTTTCTGTTTTTCATCAATAATAGTGTTTTGTTTTTTTGTAAGTAGAGGCCAGCTGGAAGGTTATGCAATCCCCTCAAGAAGAAAGCTTCACATAGCAAAACACTAACAGAAAGTAAATATGTTTCAGTAACAATATTTAGAATAGAGTTTAAACCAATGAAATCTGCTCATTAATCCTTTTAATTATAACCTGTTTTAGTGTTATATTTGTTTAATTTCCAGCATCATCCTCTAAACATTAGACAGACATTAGACAGACTTAGAGATACCCGTCACTCACCGGCTTTAACAATTAGAGATATTTTTCCCCCCAAATGAAGCATTCACTGCAGGAAAGAATTTTTTCTGCATTACATGGTGGGACGAAAGCCTGAGATCGACCACCTGCAAACTAAGCTGTGGCCCAGAAGCAGATGTTCATACTGTAACCAGTGTCTGTGGTGCCCTTTGCAGATGTGAATGAGTGCCAGGACCCCTCGTACTGTAAGAATGGGAGGTGTGAGAACACGCCCGGCTCCTTTCACTGTTTTTGTGACCCTCCCCTCACCTTCAGCGCGGCGCTGAAGCAGTGCGTCTATGACGGTGGGTAGAACTAGCTTGCCTGACCGCTCAATCCTACACTCATGTTTTTCATTGCAATTACTCCACAGTTCTGTCCTGTTTTCAGTCCTGTTACTAATTTTATGAAAGGATTTTTGTAGCTTTTAACAACAACAAAAAAACATCTTAATTTTTGCACAATGAATGAGTAGATTTTTTTGTGAGAAACTAATTACATTCACTGCTGGTCAGAAGTTTATTTGCACTCATCATTGGCATCAATGTTGTATTTTTAGCCCTTAATGTGCATTTAAACTGTTCCTTTTTTTCAAGGCTGAAAGATGATACAACAAACATTTTTTATGATTCTTATGTATCAGGATTTTCCAAAAGTTCTGTCTAATTTCAACTGCCTAATGCAGGGCTGTTCGAGTCAGGTCCTCCAGGTCGTGTCTCCTGTATCTATTAGACGCGTCTCTGCCTCAACACACCTCCTTAGCATGCATTTAAGTTCTGCAGGGTCCTGCTAATTAAGGGATTATTTGACTCAGGTGTGTTAAAGCAGAGACTAACTTAAAGCTCAGCAAAAACCTAAAGCTAAGTGAAGATGTCTTAAAATAACTGATTTGCTCTTTTTGTAGAGCTGGTAATTAAGATGATCTAACTATGGAAAGAGTTTTTGGCCCTTAAAATGGGATATTAAGATATTATATACTTAAAATAAGATAATGTAGTTGTTGTTGTTGTTTTTTTCTTATTGTAGACATAAATTATCCTATTCAAATAGCATATTGTCTTACTAGCTCAGAGCATTGAAAATACACTTATTTTAATAAAAAAATTACTTGTTTAAGTTTCAATTCTTGTAGCAACAACGCTCCAAAAACTGATCTAAAAGTGAGTACGAATTTCCTAAAACACATGTATTTGCCCTTAACTCGAGCAGCTAATTTGATGTTCTGACAATAGAATGAGTATTGTTGCTTTTAAAATTAAAACAATTAGATATATGCACCTAAAATAATTAATAATAAATAATAATAATAATGCAGTTGTTTTATTTTAAACATACAGTAAATGATCCCGTTCCAGTGGTACATTGTCTCATTCACCTGCTCAGATTATGAGAAAATGCATTTACTTTGTGATAAAATGATCAAATCAATATTTCTAGAGAAGACAGCAAACCTGGAGGACTGGAAGTGTAGAAACCTTTCTAAGGAGAATGCTAAAAGTTGTAACCGTCAGCCCCTCAGCATGATGCTGCTACCACCATGCTTAGCAACTACTGACTCTGTGACTTCTGCAGCTAGATAACGTTTCCTTATGTGCAGCTTTGAATTTGAGTCATGCTTTACAGGAATGTATTTTGTGGCCTTGGTTTCATTTTTAGCTTCCAGTTTGTGATCAAACTGAGCCCTGATTGCTTCTCACTATTCTCTTATAAAGCTGAGCTGGTTTACACTGGAAAACAATCTAGAAATATGTATAAAATTCCTAAATTAAGTGTATTTACTTTAATTTAAGTAGGTAAATGAGATAGTTTGCCAATGGAATGAGTATTTTTTATTCTTAAGATAAAATAATTAGATAATATTCACTTGGAATAAGACAATGCAATTGTGTTTTCTTATTTTATGTGTAAATAGTCTTGTTCCATTGGCAAAATGTATATTTTACCTCCTTAATCCAAAAACAAATGCACTTATTCTAAGAAAAAATGACTTATCTAGATTTTGAGTTTTTCCAGTGTGAAATATGACACTGTTCTGTGTTTAAACAGGACACTGTCGCCAGCACTTATAAAAATGTTTTTTATTGAGGTAAAACAGTCAAACAAAACATTTTTGGAAAAACATTGTTCTGGCTTAAAAGCCAGAACCAAGGCAGGAAGCCAAAGTACTTCCATTTATTTCTTCCACTCCTGCCTAAAAGAGTGGTAAAAGATCCAGCAACAAAGTATTTTTATAATGGCTGAATAATCCAAAATACATTCAAATATATAAATCCAGTTATTATATATTATATAAATCCATTCTATTATTGACCGCTCTCTTATCACTCCTTTGATAAACAAAATGGTCTAAATAAATCTTTCAGTCCAACATTTTATTTAAGCTCTGTTTCGATGATAAGTGCATTTAAACATTTGACCTACTCGAAAAAATTTTAATAGTTTTTTTGTTTTGTTTTTTGTTGGGGTTTTTTTTTACCAGTAAAACGCTTTTTACTTTGAAGGAAGTCCTTATTGTTATATATCACTGATATCACTGTTTAAATTTATTCATTTAACATAGTTTAACAAGAAAATCAATTGAAATTAGCTTTTCTTTTTTATGGCAGACTCTGCAAGGAATACTCTGTTACTTCCTGGTTTAATATTTCTAACAGATGCTGCTGGGGGTTTTTTTTTCCTAATGAGTCAAAATAGCTTTTTAATGTGACACCATACAGTATAAACTGCAGGCAGTCTAACACAAGCCGAACATAGTGCACAAGCTCTTACAGTAGTCAGTTTAATTATTAATGTTTTTAAATAAGATTTTGAATTAATTTTTTGGTTTGCATGTAGTGATCGCACAGAAAAAATATTAAGAACTAATCCTGGTTGCAATCACGGAGTAGCTATAGCGGTGTGTGATATGCATGAGCATTAAAGGATGTGTTGATCTGGTTTTAGACAAAGGTGGGAGGCACTAACTAACAGTATCCACCAAAGGAAAGGGGGAAAAAAACTGTGGCTGCTCTGTTTACAAATTGATAAATAAAAACCTGTGATTTTAGGAGTGTTTTTTAGATATTATGATTGAATACTTTGATAGCTTAAGATTGATAATTTTTCTTTTTACTACTAATTTTGGTATGATTTAAATGAATAATAGGTGTATTGGCTGAGAATCTTAATTTCTTTCCCTTTAATTCTGTTGAATTGATTTGAGTTAATCTGTTTTACTCAGTTAATTATTATTTTTTAACGTTTAGGGAATCTAAGTCACATGCAGTAAAGCTGTTGAATACACTGGTGATATTTATAATAATATGGACTAATTTGTTAGTTGTTGCTGTTGACTGGAATTTCCTGTGACCATGTAAAGCATGAACAGATACTTAATAAAAGCTGATTTTTTCGTTTTTTGCACACAGCACCCTCCATTCTTACTTCCCCATAAACATTTGTCAAAATGTTTTAATCTTTATTACAGTAGATTTATTTCCAACAGATAAAAATTTTGAAAACTCTAATTTGAATTGTAATCAATGAGGGGGAAAAACTGAGAGATAAAAAAAAATGTTCAGAAAAAAAGGTAATTGAATTTGGTTTTAACAATTATCATTTTTAGATTGCTCACAGTGACTAGGAGCTTTTGATGATCTATCCCTGACACAACAGAAAGGCCCTTATTTACTAAGATCTCTTCAAAATGGAAAAAATCAAGATAACAAGAAACCAATTATCACAGATACGTGGCGATCGGTTAGAAAATGAACTGCAGTAATTCTTTTTTTTTTATTGATATTTTTCTTGATTTGAGGAGGAAGGTAAAAAAAAAATGCATTAAGTTGATTTAAGTTTAAAATAGGAAAGACAACTGCATAATCTTATTTCATGCATATCATTTCCAATTATCTTATTTTTAAGTTAAACATACTCATGTCATTGGCAGATCATCTTATTTACCTACTTAAATTAATTGCAAATATGCTTATTTTAAGAACTCAATACTTTTTTATTTGGTTTTGCAGAGTAGATACATGAAAATACTGATGAGCCAAAAATTATAAATTTTTTGTAATAATAAAACGCCAACGCTGAAACTCATTTATTAGAATACCTTAAAGCAGGAAAAAATATATACTAGTTAAAATGTATTAAAGTAAAAGGCTGTTAAGAATCATTTTAAATGATTATTGAAATTCGTCAGAACTTGTGATATTGATGGATTACTTTAGGTCCCTCTTCTCCATCACTACTGGCATCAGATGAACACTTGTTTTTTTGTGTGGAATTCAAACTCCCACAGTTCTTGTGAAGTTTTTGTTTTATGTTTCATTTTGGGAAGAACTAATTCTTTTTTTACGTTTCTCTGGGAATTCACCTATTTCTTTGTGTAGAATTTGTTGATGGCGTCTATGGAGGAGATTTCTGCCAAAAACAAAGAGCAATAATTTTAATCTGAAAGCACGATTTATTTTACTTGCACTCAAAACCTGCAATGCTCGCATTCAGAACTTCTGCTTTCTCTCAAATCTATTCTCTTCTCCATCAAATGTTTCTTCTCTCATTTCTGATGCTTCTCTCATAGATATTTTCTCCTCACGTTTAAACCAGCCTCTGCTCAAGTCAGAGATACGCTCACAAACCGTTTTCTCTGATTGCAGATTTTTTTCGCTTTCTCTCAGACTGGAGTCAGATTGTCTCCTAGCAACATTTCCAGCCAATAGAAATGCCTCAGAAAGCTGAGTTTGCCTTTTACTGCTTAGTGGTAATAAAATATATAAATGCTTTTCAATATAAATTCTAATAAAACAAGAAGCTGAAAAAAACACAAACAATTTGTGAAAAAAAAAAATTATAAGGGGTGATTTCAAAATCACCAATGAAAAAAAAAAACGGTTTTACCTATGAGGTCATATATTTGATTTGCATATCAAACACAATTGGGTTAGAAGAAAACATTCGAAAAGCAATTTTATTATCAGTAGGCAGGTAAATGGGTAAACTCAGAATAAGAAAAGAAGCATAAACTTTCGGAGGCAGTCATTCTATTGGCAGGAAATGTTGCTAGGCAACGATCCAACTCCAGTCTGAGAGAGGGCGAAAAACTCATAAGCAGAGAAAAACGCGTTTGTGAGCATAATATCTGATTCGAGAAGAGACTGGTTTTAACGAGAGGGGAAAATATCTGTGCAAGAAGGATCAGATCTTAGAGCAGAAACAAAGATTTGACTGAGAATAGAATAGATTTGACAGAAGGCAGAAGTTTTGAATGCGAGCATTGCAAATTTTGAATGCAAGTAGTAAATCCTGGTCTCAGATTGAAAATCTTGGTTCTTGGCTTTCAGCACGAAAGATCCTCCATAAGCATCCAGTCGTATTTATCCCATAGATGGTCACAGATTTCTTGGTCTTGTTGCACCAATCCCGATCAAAATGCAAAGCAGTGCATTCAGAGTTCTCAGATTATTGCTGTAATTCAAGCCTTTATTAACCACGTGTTTTGAAATTAGCACATCTAGGTGATATTTTTGAAGAATAAGACAGGGCCCAAGTTTAGCTAACGTTTTCCTGGACTATTACTCATAAATTATTCCTGAAGTGAAACCATCTAACACTAAATAAAACAAATTGTATCTCTCCATTATTTTAAACTAGATCGTACTGCGGCCCACAGAGACGTGTGTTTCGAGCGGGTGGACGAGGGGCTCATCTGCAGCCGGCCCGTCGCCTCAGTGACTTACTCAGAGTGCTGTTGTCACTATGGTCGCGGCTGGGGGCCGGAGTGTAACACCTGCCCTCCCAGGAGTTCAGGCGAGTTTCCTGCAGTATCTGTAACCTTCCCTGCTTCCCACCAGCTCACCTTTCATCCGAATGATTAAACGTCTTCTTCTTTTCTCCTGTTTAGAAATGTTCAGCGTTCTCTGTAAGATGCATCTTGAGACTGACTCTGAAGGGGATCAGGACGTTCAGGCAGCTTTCACAAACTACAACCCAGGTGAAATCATCTTCTAGTCCTTGTGGCTTTGCTATTTTGCCATCTATGATGTCATATTCACTCCATTCACTGTATTTTCTCCTTTTCACTAAAAGGGGACAGTTCAGAGGAAGATTCAGACGAATGCAGCTGTAAAAATGGCCGGTGTGTCCGCTCCTACCTGTCCACTATGTGTCAGTGTAACCCAGGGTTCAGGCTAGACCACTCACGTGGCCGTTGTATAGGTGTGTACTTATACAAAATGCAAAATGTACATGTGGACATTGTCATAAAGCATTATATCCCTTATTCCATGTTATAGACACAAAGAAAAATACTGCTAAGCTAATGTTTTTCTTTAATGAAAGGAAAGTGGTTTTATATATAAATTTATTTATAAATAAATTTATTTATATATATAAATAAATAAAAAAACAGCATGCATCATAGCTCTGCTGGTATGTTTGCAATCGTTGATCCTCCACCTCAGTCTCAAGTCTTTTGCAGCCTCTATCACATTCAAAAATCTTTACTTCAGCTCGCATTAAAAAAATTAAAAGAATAAAGATCACTTAAGCTTTAAAATAATTAAAAAATTATTACCTCTTGAAGCTCATCAAGAGAATGCCAAGAGTGCGCAAAGCAGTAATCAAAGCAAAAGGTGGCTACTTTGAAGAACCTAGAATATAAGACATTTTTTCAGTTGTTTCACACTTTTTTTTTGGTTAAGTATACAATTTCACATGTGTTAATTAATTTTTGATGCCTTCAGCGTGAATCTAAAATGTTCATAGTCATGAAAATAAAGAAAACTCTTTGAATGAGAAGGTGTGTCCAAAGTTTTGGTCTGTATTGTATGTATCATTTTTTTAATATACAAAAAATAAATAGGAAAATTCACACTTAAGTAAGAATAGGAATAATCTCACAACAATATAATTTAAGTTTAATTAAAAAGCTTGGTAAAGTTGAACTACTCCAGAAAGTCCATAGTTATCTTAAATTGGATAAATGCATTCTACAAAAGTTAAAAAAACAATCCAAAAAACTTTCAAAGTTGGAAGATGTCTCACATCCACCCAGGAAAGTTTTTCAATTCAAAATGTCAGAAATAGCGTTGAGTTCTAAGCTTTATAGAGTAGCCCAAACAAAGCCTTGTTTTGGGTAGAAGTAGCTACTGGTGAACACATGATAGTGGTAGCATCAGGTGTTACGTAACCACAAGTCCAACTTTTCTAAAAACATGCAGAAATTGAAATCTAAGTAAAGCGATGGTTCATTACCAAAATGGGTAGGGTGGGCAGGGTGGAGCCAGGGTTTTTTTCACAGGGGCTCAAAAAGGAATTGAAAAAGATAATTAAATAGGGAAATGGTTCAATATTTCATATAATACGAGGGCCAAAGGGCCACTTGTTGACCTGAAGCTGCAGGTTTCAGGCCCCTAATCCAGCAGAAGAAAAATGATCCAATTTCAATATGAAGCTAAATGTACAACACTTTAACTTTTAAATCCTTACTGCAGAAAGAACTGTAAATCTAAAAAATAAAATTGTTCTAAAAAAAACAATTAGTTGTTGGTTTAGCCCAAATCATCCTAAGAAACTAATACAGCAACATGCTTACAGTCTAGGGGCAATAACAGAAGCTAAGGCCAGTTTTAAAGGAACGGAGGCTACTGTTAAATCATCCATCAGATTATTTACTTTTGATTTACTTTTGAATAAATAGAAAAAAGCAACTCATTATGTTATTTCAGGTGCATAGTTTGTAGTTTGCACAAATATGTTTGTGCATATTACAATAATATGTTTTAATAAATCTATTTTCAACTAATATATATTTTGCATCTTGCCTCTTGCCCGTAGACAGCTGGCTCGCAATCCCAGCTGGGATAATAAGCATGGCAGAAAATGGATGAATAGATGGATATTTTGCACATTAAGAAAACATGTTTTAAGAAATGTTTTACTAATTTTTAGATCAAAATTTGAAGTGTACAAGGCTGTTCTTCTTATCACTAAATAACCCTTTTGGGGGGTTGACAGCTTATTCCAGATTAAATTACATTTTGGTGGATTATTTTTTTGATTCACTGCTGCTTACTATTCCTAGTTCTGTTTCACAGCTTTTCCTGATGCTCATTTTTGTTTTCCAGACATTGACGAATGTGCAGATCCGGGTCTGCGCACCAGCCTCTGCAAGAACGCTCACTGCAAGAACACCCCCGGCTCATACAGGTGCATCTGCAAACATGGCTTTATGCCCTCACGCCGGCAAAACGTGTGCGTGCGTCGCAGAACTCAGTAAAGATCCAGAAGACATGCCGTGGTGCTCCTCTCTGTCCTGGTGTGGCTGTGCTGAACGCCTGAAGAAAAACAGAGCTTCGCTGTGGGAGATAAATTCTATGCAAATCTGGAATGTCCAAAACACTCTTTCCCCCACCGGTTCATTTTTGAAAAATATCACATCACATTAGGATGATCTTTGTTTATTGTTTTGTAAGTATTGTTTTCTAAACTGTTTTTTCGTTTGATATTAAAGTGTATATTTTTGTGTTTTCTGTTTATTGATTACCCCACTCCATCAAATTGATCAGTTTTAATTCAAATTTGAGCTCCAGTTTTTTTATTAAAGAAAACAATCTCAAAGATCTATGGTATTACTGTTAGTTGTTTTTTTGTTTTTTACATTTCCCTTTAAACCCAAATCCTGTCATGTTTAATAGTAAACAACATCTGAAGTGTATTTTTTACAGTAATTATTACACATTGTTTAAATTGTGTTTTGTACAGTTTGTTCTGTAGAATGACCCCTTTGCTTCTCTGTTTGTTTGTTGATGCAAAGTTTAAAAAAGAAATTGTAGCAGTTTGTTATTGTTTGACAAGTGCACCAAAGTGGACTTTGTGGAAGAGGTGAGCTTGATGCACAATACAGTGGGAATATGGTGGGAAATAATTGCCTAATGTATCTTCTAATGGGGAAAGCCAGGAAAGCTGTTATATTTGCTGAATAAAACTGTTAGCCAAACAAGCTGTTGGGAGAAGACAAATTTGATTAAAAAAATACCCTGGAAAATAGTGTTTCTATCTCTTTTTGTGTTTTGTTTTTGTGCAGTGTTTAAAGTTGAAGTAAAATAAGTATTTTTAGAGTTTCGTGAAGAATGGGGCCATCTTGTGGCTTGTTTGTGTTATTACACTTCCTACATCTCACCCAATGAAGTTGATAATGTTTTGGACTTTGTGGTTAAAATCAACTGAAATATCTGAAATTATGTGTAACAGAAAATGTGCTTCTAAATCATGTGTTTAATCAAGTCTGATTCATCCAAATCTTTGATTTCTCTCTCCCTGATGACCTCAGGGAACCAAAAATAACTTTCAAAATGCTTCTCTTTAACTTTTTAAAATTTCAGGAACTCCTGGTCCATCCATTTATCCACCCCTCCATCCACCCATCCATCCATTTATCCATCTTTCCGTCCATCCATCCATCCATTTATCCATCTGTCCATCCATCCATTTATCCATTCATCCATCCATCCAACCACTCATCCATCCATTTATCCATCCATCCATTTATCCAGACGTCCGTCCGTCCACCCATCCATCTTTCCATTTATCCGTCCACCCATCCTTCTATCCATTTATCTATCCGTCCATCCACCCATCCATCCATCCATTTATCCATCAATCAATCCATCCATTTATACATCCATCCATCCATGTTTTTACTTTCTTTTGACACACATTTCACACCTTTTTTTTAATGCTTTGTGGAAACTCTGTGCTTGGTTATTCCTGTTTCACTGTTTCGCGATCGAATCACCCGAAATAACACAGGGAGCAACATCTAAGTGGCAATTAACTGTTTTTTTCTCTGGGTTTGTTTTCTCTTCTAGTTTTTAATTTGCATTATTGACTCTATCCACCTGAGGGGCTTACAGTCAAAAAAGCCAAGAGGATACCAACAGAATGTAAAAGCAAACATTGAAGCAATCCAGAGATGATGGAGCTGACAGCAAACAGCTGACACAGGATCTGCCTCTGAGTGACAGATCTTTCTGAAATCAAACATGACCAGAAGGAGCAAACAGAATAATTTCCGCATAGCATGACGGAGCAATATATTCAGTCAGTTTTGTTAAATTCTCTGAAAACATTAAGGAATGCTCAAGAAAATTAGTTCACAACCAACAACATTTAAAGTAAAGCTTTAATGTGAACTGACTGTAATATATTAGCTCATCAAGTAACTTAATAGTTCTGGTATAATTTCTAGACATATAAACCTATCCATTAAAAAGTAACAAAATTTATATTTATTATTATATTACAACACAGAGTTCTATATAATTGCACGGTAGAGAAAAATAAACCATGCATTGTTTTCAAAATGCCTCACAGATAGAAATCTGAAAAATGTTGTCTGTGCATTTATATTTAGCCCTCTTTCCTTTGACAACCCTAAATTAAATCCAGTTGTCTTTAGAAGTCAAATTTCCCCACATTAGTGAGGATTATTGGAGACAAGGCGCATAGAACAGATCAGGACTACATTTGCTTAAAGAACAACATTATAATCAAAAATCAACACTGTGGTTGTTTTTTTTATGGTGGTCAAAGTTTAGTGAACTACATTATATCAATTAATATTTATCAGCTATAATAGCGATATTAATATCGATATCAACTTGTATTTTTTATAATAGTGCTTCCCTAATTGCAAGTCCAGCTTGATGTTTTAAATTAAGCTCAATTGAACTTTTTTTGCTTTATACAAACAAAGATACTAATTGATCATTCAAGTGCTTTCTCTGAACATAAAGCCCTAATTGCACTGTGAATAGAATTTTTCCATAGAATTAATTGATGGCAGTGAGTTAGAAACTTCAACACCATCGAAGTAAAGTTTTTTTTTTTTTTTTTTATGTTATGTAATTTCACACTTCTTACCCAAAAGAGCTGCAAAAGTCATGTAAAAAATTAAAAATAGTGTTGGAAGGATTTAATATCAAAATTGCTGATTTGAAAAAAAAAAAAAAAAGTCAAAACATGTAAAATGTATTTATGATGCTTTATATATAGTTAGATTTTAAGGAATTAATACAAAAGTTGAATATTACATTGTTTTGTTGTTGCAAGGTACTTTTTATCTGAATGGTACCACAGAGCAGAAGTTACTGGAACAGGCACACATTGGGATTTACAGCTCAAAGTATTTAGGTACATTTAACTAGATATTTTAAAGTTGCATTTGTGGTGTTAACAAAAACGTAGGATTTAGTCATTATAAACCAGGTAATTTGCAATCTAATAAATTTTTTTTTTTTTTTTTATATTAGCATGGATTGTTTTTAACCATCCACCAAAGTTGACTCAATACTGGCAGTAAAAAAAACTCATTAACATTTTTACACTTGTTAATAAATTTGAGTGAATTCATCACTAATAAAATGAAATTAAAACATTTTCTGTGACATTAAACATGTTCTCTGTTTGACTTTTCTGCTTTTGGTGAATTTGTTCCAAAATAGATATGATCATCTTGAAATAAAAAGACAAAGGCATTGTCCACTAGAAGGAGCTGCTGGTTTGCATGTGCAGACAGTTACATAAATCATAAATAAAATAAAGAGAGGATCCATATTTATCCTATAAATACAGTCAAGCTTGGCAGTTGTGTGTCCTCTGCTGCTACCTTTCAGTCTGGGGTCCCACAGGGGTCAGTGTTAGACCCCTTGCTCTTCTGCTTGAATCTATTTAAGGAAATATCGGCGTTTCTTTGTACTGTTATGCTCATGACTCCCAGGTCTATCTTCCTCTTTAAAAAGCCCTGGTCTTTTCATTAGATTCGATGTTCAAATGTCTTACTGTTAGAGTTCAGGTTCTGTTACGTTTTTCTTTTGGATGTTCAGTTTTGCTTTGCTCCTTGTTTTCTAGTTTTTTATGGTCTAATTCTTAGCTTATTGTGTTCTTTGGTTTTTTCTCAGTTACTGTCTTAGTCTTGGTTATTTTATGTTTTCTTTTGAGTGTTACATTTTTGCTGTACTCCTTGTTTTCTAGTTTTAGTGGTTTTATTTTCATTTTGCTGTGTTCTCTGGTTAATTCTTAGTTACTGTTGCAGTCTTGGCTCTGTTATGTTTTTCTTTTTTCAGTTTTACTTGCTCCATGTTTTATAGTCTTAGTGGTTTAATTCTTATTTTGTTGTGTTTTCTAGTTATTTTCAGTTTTTTAGGTTTTTATTTGTCGCCCTCTGCTGCCCTCTTGTGCTCTCCTTTTTCCCTAGCTCCTTTTCTGTTCTGCTCTGTGAACACCTGTTCCCAATCTGCTCGTTAGTCCTCTCTTTGTCTCAGTCTCCCTTGAATACTCCTTTGAATTACCTCCCTCGGTTTTCAGTATTCTCATTATTAAATCCTAAAGAAATTCACCTCTGCCTCCCTGCCACTGCTTTTGGGTCAACAAACCATAACCAAATCCTGGCACTTACTGGTATAAAGTCATGGATAACTTCAAACATTTTACATTTGAAAGAGGAAAAAACTGAAGTCACAATATTTGGTGGTATATCTGATGTCTCTAACATATCTTAGTTCTCTGGTTCACTATTTTTGGCCGATTATCACAGATCTTGGGTTTTAAGATTGATGCAGATTTTAAACTTGAAAGCCAGTTCAGGGGGTTTGTTAAATCTAAATTTTCTTTTAAAGCCAGCTACCTAAAGTGAAGCCATTTATATAAAGGCAGTTTTTTTTTTTTTCAAACTGGTTCATGCTTTTGTTACATCTAGGCTGGATTACTGTAATTCTCTCTATTTGGGGTTCAGTGATGTATCCATCAGGGGCCTGCAGGGTGTGCAGCTGCTGCTTTCTGAGCTGCTAGGCTCCCATACACCTGCCTGCTCCCTCAGGTCTGCTAACCAGCAGCTCCTTATTGTCTCTAAATCCAAGCGGAAACTAAGAGGAGATTGTAACTTCACTGTAGCGGCTCCAAGGTTATGGAATGATCTCCCATTTTATGTCATACAGGCCTCGTCCCTGTAGAGGTTACTGCTCTTCTTACAACACACCTTTTTCCAGAAGCCTTTTGCACTTACTGAGAGGTTGACTCTATTCTTATTTGGAATTATTTTATGTTATCCCCATTACTTTTAATACATTTTATACATCTTTACAGTTTTAACTTTCTTTCTTTCTTTATGTCTATTTTAGCATATCTGTTTTTAGTTATACATTTTAGTTTTACTGTTATAGTCAGTTGATATATAAACAGCACTTTGTTGACCTTTGTTGTTTTGAAGTACTCTAAATAAAGTTTGAATGGTATTATACTACGGGCCAAATTATGCTTTGGTTAGACTTAGTATGTTGGGATTTCAGCTAAATGCAAACTAATCGATACCAGTGTTGTGTGAACAACCTTTGGTTGGTCTATCCAAAAACCCCATAACCTATAGATGGTCCTCAATCTGCTGCATGAAACAAGTCACGCCGCGTGAGAGTGGCGCTCAGCGTCTCTCTGTCCTGGTTTCATTCTGTCTAATAATTATATCTCTTTGAAAGTGGAACGTTTGGGTGACCTACAGCTATTAGTTTAGGGAGAGACAGAGAAAAAGAAACGGGACATGAGAGCCAGGGGATGAGCAAAAGAACCAAAACAGAAATAGAATACATGTCCTTGGGAGACGACTTAAAAAACTTGATGTTGAGGATATAAATATCTTGAAGTGGGTCACAGTGACCAGAGTACAACCTGATGGGAGCCAGTGTCTGTAGACAGCAGCTAATAAGGTTTTTGTGGTCGTCTGCCACTTTCTGAGACAAATATGGCATGCAATAAATAAAAAAATAAAACAACACAATAACAAAACATGAAGCGGCGTTAAAACATCAAGCATGTTTCTGTTCCTTTGCAAAAAAAGACCCAGAACTGCTTATTATATAAGATCAGGCAAGTTCTGAAGACGATTGAGAAAACAGCTAGTCAGTCACTTCAGGCCAGTTCAGTCATCTATACCAGGGATTCCCATACATTTCAGTCAGTGACCACAAAAATAACAGCGCCACGGAAAGATGACCCTGT